GCGGCTAAAACCACAGGAAATATTGAGAATGATTCCCAAAACGAAGCCAGAGTTTGAAATACCCATTTCCTCCGATGTCTTCAAAGACTACAGAATCTTACTTTTTTGTTTCGATTGGGTTTTTTAATTCTTTTCCCCAAAAGCAGAGGTCTGTCCACTGTTATATTTTAAAGAGAAATAGTACGAGTCTGATAGTCATCTGCTCAATTTAGAAAAAAAAGGATACAGAAGCACTTTCTCTAGAAGGAAGGAAAAGGCAGAAAGGATCTGCAGGCTTTTGCTTGAAATAGATCAAGATTGCTCTTCATCAGCAAGAAAGCTACTAGTGCTATAGAATCAGAATTAAAGTATTCTGGAATAGACATACAAGGTTATTGGGAGGCGTATGGGAGGGGAGAGCTACTTTCTATTAATTATCTTTGGTTTGTCCTTGATAAGATACATCCTTTTTTTAGGTCTTATTCCACATCAGTAAGATAATACTCACACTCTTACTGCTTAGAAGGGCTGTTATTAATAATAAATTAATATGTGGGATGTAAAGTAAGCAGAGACACATACATTTAGGGTATTGTATATCTTTATGTCCTAATGTGCCTGAAAGTGTAGAATCAAAATGTCAGACTACCACATCTAGGCCTCTGGATTATTGCTGGAGTATTTTTGATGAGAGAGGAAGCAAAGGGTGAAAGCAGAAGGCACAAACTGTTTAGGAGAGCCCTACCAGAAAGCATATTGCTTGGAGTCTTGTAAACATGGTATTTTTCAAACAGCTATATGGTTTCAGTTTGATAGGGCTTATCATTCGGAGCATTCCAATTGCTGGCTTAAGGTGTACCTTTCCTGAAACTGAAAATAAACATCTGGCAACATCTGTTAGCAGTTTTCCATGCATAGTGGGACAGCAGCCACCAAAGGATGGACAGACATCCCTCCACAGAGAGGGGGAAAGGAGGCGGGAAGGGCTGAAACATTCTAGGGTAAGATAGCCTGAACAGGGGCAGCAGAAATAAGTGGAAGAAAGGATGTAGTATTCGCTGCAAGACAACTTTAGGGACACTAACTGTTGCATTCTACTGTATAAACATATGCTGTGTAAGACTAGTATCTGCTTGCATAGGGGACTGTATGGGATAAACTTGGATTAAACCATACAGGTGCTTTTTAAATAGGGACGACTCCTTTCAGGTCAGTGTCCAAGACCAAAATACCCTTTTTTTTTTTTTTTTTTTAAATTTAAAAGATGTTTCCCCCTCCCCCCTGAAAAATAGTTACAGTTTTCTGCTGGTTTCAGGCAGCTATGACTTCCTCCAAGATACTAGTTAGGCCAGCTTTGCCACTCTGTCCTCCCACAAAAAAAAAAAACAAACAAAATTCAGATTTCACCCGTGTTGGTTTGTTTTGGGGGCATTTTAGCAGGTACCTCAGAAATGAGTTCTCAACAGTTCTTTACAGTGCTTCGCGGAGAGAAATTCTAACAAAGCAGCTAAACTCTGGTAAGTAGTTTCACTGAATTAACCTTTCCTTAACAAGGTCCTAGTTAGCAGATTCGCATTCCTTAAAGCTGTCCTTAAGAACTTTAAGCCTTCTCCACAGATAGGAACAAAGATGACCAGTGGTACTAACAATTAGCAAGTTAAAAGCTTGCCACTGTGGGATTCAGAACACAAGCCTGCATAGCTCCAATAATGAGCTACAGCTGCAGGGAGTAAGGATAATATAACACAGGGTTACAGCAGCAACCAAGTGACTCTGGGTAGCAGTTCAGATCATCCACTTCAGCTTGGGGAATGCTGCTGAATTAGATCAGATTCAACTGAAGTCAATGCCTATTTGGAAGTCACTCTTACAGCTTTTATAAAAGGATTGCTATACAATGCAAAATGCTTCCCAAGAGGTGAGAAATGGCTTGAAAAGTATATTAAAAGTATACTACAAAATCTGCATACTAATACAAATCCCTGAGAGATGCTTGGAATTGCAAGGATCTCATCATGAAGATGTGATCTGAAGACAAGACTTGGAGTAACTAAGGTCCTCAGAAGCTGTTCCTGCCAATCTTTTCAGTCTGACTTGCAACTTAAGTCTCCTCTTTGTGTGGTCTAATGACGGGAACAATAGCCTGAACTATGCTGCTGTACTCCTAGTTCTGCTTCAGACTGGAATATTTATGCATTTTGCTTTTTCTTTGAACAAGCTTTAAAAAAACCCAAACAAAACCAACACCACCAGCCTCCAACAAACTCTCTTCCCTTTTTCACCTTGAGTCCAAATTTATGGCTCATTCATCTGTCACACTCCAATTTCACCAGCTATTATCCAGCTGCCTTCTCTGTCTTGACATAAACAGAGCCTGAGCTCCTAATCTCTGGAAGCAGCTTTCTCAATAATTGGGTTAGCTTTCTACTTGCTCCAGGACCATATAATGCAGATGATAAAAAGCTAATAGTGTGGGAGACAGCACCTGAATATTATTTCAAAGAATTGGAACTGCAGAGCAAACCTAGAGATTGGGAATGAAATTATATCTTCTTGCCTGCTACTCTGCCTGACTCCCAGCTCTTGGTTTGTATAGGAGGCGTTGTATTTTTAAAGGAAGAGAGAAAATGGACCTATGGTGCCGCGCTTGTTCAAAGCAGGGGGCTTCCCATCTACATCGCACTCCCGATTCATCATCTCGGTCATCTAACTGACTACTATAGCAGTCTTGGTTAGTACAGAAGAGCAAGCTAAATATGTTCACACTGGTGATTACTTAGGTCTCGTTCAATTGTAAAAAAGAGCTACTATTACTGCATGCAGGAGTAACTTACTTTTAGTAAGAAAATTATGGGTTCAAGTCAGGAAACCTGTGATGAAGTTATTAATCTTTTATTTTAAGAGTTTAGATTACATAATAATGATAACTCCAGTCCTCAAAAGCTATTACTCAACTCTGAAAATCAGTAATACCTTCCCAGTTTTTAGTAGATGTATTGGACCTTGGTATTCAATGCCCTATTTCCAAAGAGTCCCATAGGCACTAGGTTTCTATACTTCTGACACTGTATAATCATTTGTATCTATCTTACTGATTTAAGTTTTGCCATGAACAACAGCCTCCTCCCCTCCAACAGAGAGTCCTGTTGGTGTACCAACAAATTCTCATTTAAAGTCCTCAAGTTCAGCAGTGTTTCCAAATATAAAATAGAACTTCTAGCTACCAAATTCATGCTGCTAAGGTCAGGCTTTACTGGAGTTCTTCTACATACATACATTTGGCTGATCTTTTACAGTTACTACAAAGTCACAAAGATAAAAGAAGGGGCAAAATAAATCTTCTCAGGGATTTTTCCTACAGGGATTAACAGAGGAGCCAGAAGCCCACAGCAAAGCGCATTACCTTCACAGGCAACAGACCACCTCAGAAAGCCCTTCACTGATTGTCACATCCAGCGTTATTTTTCTGCTATGAGGATGAGATTAGAAATGGCATTTAGTACAACAAGGGAAAAAACCCATGTTGCTTAATTTCAGTGGTAAAATTTTGTATAGACTTGAGACTATGCCGTGTTATGAGCGTGCCCAACCGCTACTCAGAATTTTCTCTCCACCCAGTAGCTGCCCTAAACCAGTCAGCACTTACACAAGCTGCTCGACTTTGGTGAAATAAATAATTTTTCCTCTTTTGTCCGGAAATAAATGGGGGGAGGAGAAACCAGCGCACAAGATGGTAGCATATCTCACTGCAGTCAGTGGCTGCAGAAATCTAAATTCATGCTTCTGCCAAGAAACTTGCCCGCTCAAGGCCAGACAGAAATAAATTCTGCTACAGTAGGAAGAAATACAGATGGATCACAGTACCCGAATGTCCTTCCTGTAGCTATCTGTGGCCAGGTCAGAGCAGCAATTTCACCAGGTAGGAAATTAACCTCTGATGAGTGAAGAGAGAAGTAGATTTTCAAAGCAAATGAGGTGAATGGAGGGAGAAATCCAGATTCATCCTTAACCCCAGCCACACCATACCAGCTGGTGATCTCCTACAGGAGATCATTGGAGGTTCTCTCCTAAGACTACTGCTGTAGGAGACAGGCTATGCAAATCAGCCTGGAGGAGGCAAAAAATCTTCATGTGAGATGGAAGAGGGCTTTGTCTGAAGTGTAAAGCTACTGAAGGGATTAGAGGGAATAAGACATAGTTGTGACTGCATAGAAGTGACACATGGAAAGAAGTGCTACAATGAATAAATGAGAACACCAGACCAAAAGCTAGCTTGCCAGCCAATTGCCATACTCTCGCTTTTTAGCAAAAACATATGACAATAGTGGAAACTAAAAGCTCAGCTGGGGAAAAGCTGTAGAAATACTGAAAACCAAAGAAACAGCAGTGCTGTCCCCACCTATCGTTAACCAAAGTCTCCTCGCTGACGCATCCTCTACACAAGAGAGAAGCCCGCACTCTCACCCATTCTGTGCAGAAAATACAAATCCTCTTAAACCACTATTTTCACAGACTGACCTTTCAGCAGATTTTTGTGCCCCTGCAAGAGATCTCTTAGGTAGGCCTCAGTGACCTAAATCTCAACTAACACTTTCCAGTCAGTACTACACTCCTTCATTAGACAAGTCCATCTCTCATAGTAACACACACAATACTGTTGGCTTCCAGCAACCTTGGGAAAAAGGACTTGAAATTTACTTCTACGACTGTTATTCCCCAGGAAACACTCTCTGAGTTTCCTCCAGACCTAAAAGGGTATGTTTTAGCTTGTTTGGGTTCTAAGTTTATCAAATAAAAGCATATCTGGGTCCAGGCTGGCAGTTTCCCTTGTCCAGAGACACTGGGACAGCTAGGCCAGATGGCTGAGAACTGCAGAGTAGAAAGTGTGTTTTAATGTAAAAAAAACTTTCACAATTTAAAACCTTTATTTAAACATATGATCTTGAACTCTATTCACACTGTAAAATGCCTTTGTTCAACATCTTTTGTCTCATCTATAGGTAACTTGAGATTTGGAGGTAATGTGGAAAACACTCAGAATGGAGGGCAAACTCCCATGTCTCCTCCTGCTGGTCGGAGCAATCATGACTACTCCATGCCCGGTAAGAGGCTAGTGCATCAAGTAACACTCTTGCCATCCTCCTGCATTTTCAGCAACATTTCCTTACCATCGACTCCAGCTGCCTGCATCAGACAGGAGGAGAATCTGGTTATATCACTAGAAATCAGAGGAAAGAAAACCTTACAAAGTAGTCTACCTCTAAGCTAGGATTTACAGTACTGTGTTATCCTGTCTGGTTTTCCTTTCCGTAAGGAAGGCTTCTCCAAATCTTCTTGGTGTTTCTGTTCACTGTCACCTTTCACTGTTAGTAAGAGTTCCATTGTGATCATCCTTTAATGTTCTTTCTCTTGTCATCACCTTCAGCATTACTCTCACAACTGGACACTGACGGTTCCCATGTCCCCTCACTTTAAGCCTCACATTGCACAGCTTGAGTAAGCCCTACACAATTCTAAAATGTTGAGTCTCTTTCTCAAAAAATTTCTATCACAGCCTTCCTCTTTCTTTTTAAGTTATTCTTCCTCTTGTGGGCTGATTGGTTTCTTACTTAAAACTTTATCCAAAATATTTTATTTAATCGGCTACAGGAGACATCTCCCTCAAAGTTAATCAAGCTACAAAGGCTTACAGGGAAACTGCATGTCAATGAGCAAAAACAACTGCTTGTTCATATTTACTTCTTTGGAAATTATTTGCTTGAACCTCCTTCAAATAGCAGAAAGCTGGCAAGCTTTAGTTAGCACTTGCAATGCCCGAAAAGCACATAATCACTTCACACGTCTCAACTTGACACCACTCAGATGACAAGCAATCACCTGGTAATCTGTGGCAGCTCAATGATTTACAATTCTCTGTACCCATCCTGAGGTACTAAAGGCACTTTTCACTGTACTGTCCAACAAGGAGGGCAGACAGTTGCTCAGAGGTCCCCTGATGTACAAGACCTGAAGAAGAGGACTGGCTCTTTGGAGGCACTTGTTCTCTCAGTTTTCTTAAGAGAGAAGTTACTCACAGAATAAACTTCTTTCTTTGCTTGCAGGGCTTACGCATACGTTTCAAACGGGGAGCCAGATCTAGAGGTAAGCCAGGCAAACTACAGCCGTGTTACCTGGAGCTTTATGGACAAAGGAGGGGAAAGCAGGTGATGCTGAGGGAATGGAGCCTGAAAGCTGTTTGTCATGGTTATCTGGATGAGAGATGAGGCAAAATACCAGACTGTTAATACCATCCACAAGTCAAAGAACAAAGTTTTCCCCTCCCTCTGCACCTCTTCAAAGAAAAAGAGACCAGTCTATAGTGCCACAGTACATCCAACAACACAGCAGTGACACAGATGGGACAACTGTGGTCTGAGAAGGGAAAAGGGCAGCCCATTAGACAGATGGTCCTATCATGGAGACTTTTCTCCTGGAAAGAGAAGGGAGTTCTTTTGCTCAGCCAGGTCTTTTCCCTGAATGTCTAAAAGATTTCCTTTCTCCAATTACAGCCATTTGCACAGACAATTCATCTGGAGAAATTTACCCGCACAGGGAGACCTGGCTGAGGCTCTCAGGGAGCAGAATAGAATACTGTAGGTGCGACAGTGGTCGGAGTCGCTGCCACACTGTGCCTGTCAGAGGTGAGTATGAAGAAAAAAAAAAAAGAGAAAGAAAATGGTGGAGGATGAAAGATTGTCTATCTAATCATCCTAAAGAACTCCACTGTCAAGGAAGGAGTTATCACACAGAAAATTTGGCTTGAAATAGAATAGAATAGAAATGAAAATACTAATATATACCAACTCAGGCAGGACTAAGCAGGAGTGGGCAAGGGGCTGAGGAAGGCTCCTAATAGTGTATGTGGAGAGAATGGAGCAAAGGAAGAATGTAAGCGCTACACAAAGATTGTAAGCACATGACAATAACAGGTAGGCAGGGAAAAACAGAATAGGCTAAAGGAGACTGACAGGAGAGGAAAGATGGGTACACATTGCCAGCTGCTTCTGTAAAATCTAACAATATTTCCTGCCTTGTGCTTATTCCACAGCCTGCACTAGAAATAAATGCTACAATGGGGGCCAGTGTTCACAGGCATATTATTCCCCACAGCTCTTCATCTGCCAGTGCCACCAAGGTTTCTCTGGGAAGCAGTGTGAAATAGGCAAGTATACCATATCAATTACTGTGAACAATGCTACTGGTTTTAGCTATGCAGTGCAGGAGGATGAGGTACCCAGAACCTGCTGCTGCACACTAGGCTCTCCTTTTTATTCTAAAGTTAATACCACAAAGAATTTCTAAGAAGGACACCTGGGCTGTTTTCAGTATCTCTTAATAAAACACTGAATTTTGGAGCTGAAGACCTTTGTGTATACATACAGTCTGCCTGGCTAGGGAAGCAGAGTTTGGGATGCTGTCCTTATAGTAACATTTTGTTCCATTTGTTCAGATACTGAAGTTAAGTGCTACAAAGATGCTGGAGTAACATACAGGGGTATATGGAGCATGACAGAGAGCGGAACTGAATGTTTAAATTGGAATAGCAATGGCTTGGTGGGCCGGATGTACAGCGGCCAAAGAGAGGATGCTGCTGAGCTGGGATTGGGCAATCATAATTATTGCAGGTGAGGGGCTGATGGCACACAGGAATCAGTCCATTCTAAGAGCTTGGAGCAAAGGAATGGCTGTTTGCAGCACTCTAATACCAAGCAGAGAACACTCTGCACAGGTGCAAATATGGTGCAGCCCATGGGCAGCAATTGCAACTTCTGTGGACATACGTGAACTTCAGATCTATCTAGACTGGATGTTTATGACAGACTACAAAATGCATACATCTCTCACCCCATATTCTTTCCCATGTCCCTTCTCAGTGCCTAAAACTTCCTTTGTAAGCTGGTTGCCTGCAGCCCCAGATCCTGCTCAAAACTCTAAAAATACAGTGTTTCCTGTACACAAGCTAAACTGCGCAAACAAGCTGCCCACTCCTGCTAGCTACTGGCTGTCTCATCCTCACCTCCATGTACTCCACAATTTTATAATTAAAATAGGAATCCAAACGACTTCTGATGGTTCAGTCCACATTTTCACTGCAGAGCAGGATTAAGTTACCAAACTAGATGGCAAATACGGGATTAGTAACAATAGCTTTATAATGATGCATAATATCATAACTCTTTCAGAAACCCAGATGAAGATTCCAGACCTTGGTGCTATATCTATAAAGGGGGAAAGTACATCTGGGAACACTGCAGTGTGCCCTCCTGTTCAAAAGGTACATGCAGGGGGACAGGGAATGGACTTTAGAGCTTCCATTATTCACTGCATATGTAAGGGTTCTCTGTGGACTCGTGCTATTTCTGTAGCCTGAAAAGTTGAGACTGTCACGTTAAATCATTTCTAAGCTTTTAATATTTATGACACCGAGAGACTGAGATAAGTGTAGTTAATATATAGATGCCTTGGCAGAAATCACAGTTAGGAACAGCTGATGGGTTCACGTCCATTGGTTAATGTGCAGTTTTCTTATTAAAGCTGGGAATATCAACTGCAAATCTGGAAGAGGCACAGATTACCGAGGCAGCCACAGTGTTACCAGTTCTGGAGCTACCTGTTTGAGGTGGAATTCTCGAATCCTTATCAACAAGTTATATACTTCTTGGAGAAGAGATGCTTACCAGCTGGGCCTTGGTAGTCACAATTTCTGCCGGTATGTAGTCAGTTACAGAATTAAAAAAATCCCACCAAACATCCTTGTGGTACTCTTGAGGCATGGCTCTAGTCTTTTACATGGGTTATTAAAGCACAGGAAGTATATTACTGCTGGGAATGAAGCTCACTGACAATAGCTCATGTGGAATAAAATGGCTATCTATGCTTCTCTAACATCAGACTCCATAAATGCAAATGCCATGTGCCTCTAGGGCCCTCTGTATCTCTAGAAAAAGCAAAAAGAGTACACTCAGGTCACAGTCTGCCACCTTTAGGTCTCCCAAAACTCCCTGCAGATCTGATAATACAAATAGTTCTTCTTTTTCCTGTGCTGCAGGAATCCTGACAATGACAGCAAGCCCTGGTGCCATGTACTGAAAGGAAATCAGCTCACATGGGAGTACTGCACTGTGCCCACTTGCTGTAAGAATGCTAGCACTCCTGATTCTTCTCTTTCTTTGAGGCATTACTGTTCTGCATGTCATCTGTATTAAACTCAAGCCTCTTAGAGTAAAATAAGAGCTGGAGGGGGAAAAAAAAAAAAAGCAAGCTTTTCAGAGTAGAAAGAGATTCTGTGGCTCTAGTCTCACAGAAGTGCCTTTTTCTCTGCCAGAAGGGAAGATTGCAGAAATGGAGGACAGACAAGGCAGGGTTTCCTTACTGTATTTTTCAAATCAGAATACAAGTTTCCTAGGAAACAGGAATGAGTCAGATACTAAACAGTTCACATCAGGCTGCCTCAACATGCACTGACGACTAACAGGCTCTTAACCCCAAACTCAAAGCAAGAGTGTCTGAACAAAAAGCCTGTCTCTGGGTTTGTCATCCACAGCCACCTGTGGTTTACGGCAGCGCAGTGTACACCAGTACAGGATCAAAGGTGGCTCCTATGCAGACATTGCAGCTCACCCATGGCAAGCTGCCATCTTTGTGAAGTATCGCCGAGCACCCGGAGAGCACTTCCTCTGTGGAGGAATTCTGATCAGTTCCTGCTGGGTTTTGTCAGCTGCTCACTGTTTTGAGGAAGGGTAAGTTGAGGATTCAGTACTGTCTAAGGGAAAAGAATCTGGAGAATGGAAGCATCCAGTATAGCCTTACTGGAAGGGTAAAAGACTCAGAAAAAAGCTCTTCATCCCAGTAAGTCATTCTACACTAAAGACTATAGAGTTATTGTGCTGAGCATTACAGACAGCCATTTACTGGGCAACCTAGCAGCATGGCATTAAGGTACCACAGCAGACTATCAAATAGCTGAAGAACAAAGTTGACAATACAGATGCAGAGCCATCTGAAACTTGAGAAGAGCAAGGGGCTGGCAGAGGAGCTTTGCCATGTAAAGCAATTAGTGCAAAAACAAAGGCAAATATGACACTTGAGGTCAAACTGCCTGGGTAATAGTGGTAAAATATGAAAAGCAGAAGCTCCAACAGCACATCTTCAAGGGAAAGGTCCACTCCAGTTAGCACAGGAAGAAAGTAAGACTCTTGTTCTTCAGCTTTAGTACAAATCAGCTGAAGATTGTGCTGGGTAGGACTTCACGAGCAACTCCTGAGGAAAATGAACAAAACTTTCAAGTGAAGAACTACATTGTGCATCAGAAATTTGACTCAGAAAATTTCAACAATGATATCGGTAAGAACATTTCTGACCTTGTGACTGGGAAGGTCACAGCTGGCTCAAGTTTGTGTTAATGAAGTTGGGGATTTTTTTCCCTCTTCAGCTCTGTTGCAGTTGAACTCAGATGCAGAAAACTGTGCTATTGAAACAGACACTGTCCGTGCTGCCTGCCTCCCAACACCAGAACTGCAGCTGCCTGACTGGACTGAATGTGAGATCTCTGGTTATGGCAGAAATGAAGAATGTAAGTAGAAGATGCTATGTCCAAAGTTTGGGTCCCCTGCCCTCAAAGAATTCAAGCCTTTAGCATTGTTTAATGTGTGACCCCCCTGAATTATTATATGGGCTTCTATCAGCACTACGAAACGTATGCTTATGTAGGAGATAAATTATAGCAAAACTTCTTTTTGTGTATTTCACTTGTCTGAGTTCTGTCAGTTGCATGGGCTAGTAGAGTCTTCCTTGATACTCTCCAACAGTAGAAACACAAAAAATGGCACAATGGAGAAGGTAGGAAAGACAGTTGCAATCAGGGCTGCCACATTTCTGCTGTACTGAGTACAGTTATATATTGTCATTCTGACAGAAATCCATTTCTGTCAAGATTTAATATACTATACAATCGCAGGTAGTTGCTTTATTCTAAAAGATACATTGTCTGTGCAGTGATTAGCAAAAAAAAAAAAACCCAACTAAAGAAATAACAATCTCTGATATATATTAAAAGGCTGGCTAAATGTTTTTTAAAGTGAGCTACAAAAAACAGGAATAAAACTTGCCCGAAAGTATACACAAGCTGACCTATATTTAAAACAAACAAAAAAACCCCCAGCTCTTACTTTACTGGCACTTTCTACTAATTTATTTTTACTCTCCGAGTTGTAAACTCTTTGAGACAGAGATTGTGAAGTATCCATCATAACAAGACCTAATCATGATTTGAACTCATGGGGTTTTTGGAAGAGACTTGAAGATTTTAACATATGAGTGTGACATAAAGTGTTTTTAAAGTGCTTTTAAAGCTGGTCCTCAGCATTGCTTGCAGGGAGTACAGGATAAACTCTTTGAGAGGGAAAGGATGCTGCAACTGTCATTCCAAACTAGACTGAAAAACAACAATCCTGCCAACTTTCAGCTTTGTGCAATTGCAGCTATGCAGGAGAATAAAACCAACACCCAAAACAAACAAAATCCCTTCCATTCCAACATAACACAAGTGTACATTCCTATCCAGTTACTCAGTATTATCTGATTTTTATTAGTGAAAGTCTAATACTAAAAAGGCAGGATCCTGTTTCATAGTTAGTGATTTTCATAGGCACTTCCTGTGACTTCATTTTGATTGATGTAACTGTGCAAAGATGACTTACCTATCCAAGAAATCCAGCAGTCTTTAATTTGGAGCCTACAGAAACCTCTTTAGCATTTAAGCTTGATAAAGAAGCAACATTCTCTCTCAATTAGATTTAAGTTGTTCTCATTAGCAAAGCAGAACCCCCCAGAATTAAAAAAGATCCTTTGGCAAGGAAGTATTAGTTGAACCACCTCCCCACCCTCAGCTACTTCTGTTTACTCTCTCCTAAATGATGGATACTGAACTGTAAATTTTTTTTTTTAATATATATACACAGATGTACACAGACATATATACATATTTACATGGTTGTTTTTCTTCCAGTTTCTCCGTTCTATTCAGAGCACCTGAAAGAAGGCCATGTCAGACTGTTTCCAGCCAGTCGGTGCACAGCACAGCATCTAGACAACCGGACAGTTACAGACAACATGTTATGTGCAGGAGACACAAGGCACCTTGATGATGCCTGCAAGGTAAACCCGATTCTGTTCCTTTTTTCTTTTTAAGTCTGTCCATGATAGTCTGAGCTAACCAAACGAAAAGCTTCAGAAAATAGTTTAAAGAAGTTCTGCATTTGGCTACATGGAAGTCCTAGTAGACTTTTGTTGAACAGAACAGAACTGCTGGCTCCTCTTTTTTCTTCCTCTGCCTGCCATAGCTGGGAAAGCAGGCCACACTTAACCAAGCAAACTAGAACAATACAGACCGAAAATCCCAAATATGGGAAATACCACAAAACTGATCAGGAAGCTCCACCTCAGTAGCATTTCCTAGTATTTTCTCTTATGTGAGCATGCAAAACACTCAGCAGAAGGTTCTGCAAGAGGAAGGGGGTGCCGCTCTACTGAAAAGTGGAGAAAAGAATAAAGGCCAAAAGATGGTGGAGAATGAGCAGCTGTAACATGAGGAAAAAAGGAGGGCATGCATTCAGTCCACATCCTTTCTGTTTAAACAGCTCTCTAATACTGTTACACACAGCAGTATAGAACACCCTGGATCTTTATAGCTTGAATAAGAGCATTCCTCCTTTTGTTCTTATCAACATCCCACCTACATTTCATAAATGAGTGCCAAAGTTAGACGCTTTAGATTTTTTGGGGTCTCTCCCCATGAGGAGCATTGAGGGAGTCCAGAACACAAAAGTAGCTTATGTGAAAGTGCTGCTACTAAAAGCTCTTAATTTGTGAGCATACTACATAGGGTACTTCTGTAGACACTAGTGCAACACTAATGACAGTGGGGGGTGGGAAAACAACACAAAACCAAACAAACAACAAAGGAGATTGTTACTAACCTGCTACTTCTCTGTAGGGTGACTCTGGAGGGCCTCTGGTCTGTATGAAGGATGATCGTATGTATCTAATTGGAATCATCAGCTGGGGAATAGGCTGTGGCCGCAAAGACATACCTGGCGTTTATACAAATGTGAATCGTTATCTTCACTGGATTCAGGACAACATGAAACCCTGAGAAAGAAAAATGAACTATCCACAGTCTTGTGGCCATGCCCTCACAGCTTCCCTCTGGGTACTTTAAGGATGCTGGTAGGGCTTCCTGTTTGTCCAGATGCTTATGACTTTCAGTGCAAGACAAACTGCAATGTGTGGGAAGGGCACATTCCCAAATTACTTTCCTTATCATAGGTTATCGGAAGCTAACACTTCTTTCCCCCCAGATCCCCAAGCCTTCTTCTTGCATCAAATCACATGAGTGCAATTAAAAATAAATTTTGGCCCAAGAGAATAAACCAGGAGAGAACATCATGCATCCCATGAGCAGCTATGTTGTTTTGGGAATAGGTGTGAACTGAAAGCAAAGGGGACAGATTTAACTTCCTGAAAAATTTATCTTGCTCCTTCTTATTTGGCTGTAAATTTGGAAGACATTCCAGTCAGGCTTAAGCTCTGTCTTTATACCATTTTATTTTGGTTATTTAAGCTGGTTTCAGCTTGACTCCAGTAGAAGGAACAAAGCTGTAGGCATGGGCTGCTTACTTCCATATCAATATGCTACTTGCTTTTTCAGTTTGGAACTGATTTATTAACTGAGTCTGTGCTTAAACTCCCTGCACAAGTCCAGGATGGCACGCTTGTTAGGACATTCTATTCTTCCACTTGCTTTTCCTCCTGGTAGGAACTAAATATTTAAGTAACTATGGAATAGCTAAAAATCTTAACACCAGCCTTATCTGCCACAGAATCAACACATTACTTTTTGACTATTAAGTTTGTATGCATTATCATCTGATATGAAAGCAAAACCTCTCTCTTTAGTGTGAACGAAGGACAAGTGTAATGGTAGCAGTTTCAGGTGCCTGCCAAATTTACATCCACAAGTAAAGATCAAGTCAAATGTCACAAGGCTGCATTTGTCCTTTAATAGAAGACAGGACAGGTACAACCAAGTCACTGTGAACTAGAATCTCAGTAATCAAGCATTACTTACTTGCATTGCAGTTGCCATGTGACACTCGGAGGTATTTATGCATGTCCTAACAGTTAAGCCTCTTTGAGAGATTCTCTCTTGTCCAATTGTTTCATAAAGTAAGAGAAAGCAGGTGTGACTACTGTTTGACAAAAGGAAAAAATTATATTGAGGCTACAAAAGGAATTTAGCTTTAGTATCAGTCAGGCATTGTAGCTAGAAAAGTAGTCTCTTGTATTTGGGAAATTCAAAACATTTTAACTCAAAATGTTTACTCTAACAGTTTTAGGGAGCCCTCTGATGATCTACTACCACAGCTGCTAGTCAAACAGAGCAGCTTATATGATAAGTAAGTACAGAAATTTGGTAAGGAAGCCCATTACCTCCTCAAATGGGTTTTGTAAATGGCTACTTTACAAATGGTCCACGTCTTTCTAGCTACCATCTTAGAAACTGACCTCAAAGAGATCTTCTCTGATGTCCTCAGAGAAACAGAGGTGTAAGTCCAGTTAGCTTCAGCTATGAGTCCCATATTCCAGCCAGTGGAAGGGGGGGAAAAAAACCAAACCAAGATGTTTATTAAAAAAAGTCACAATTCAGTTTTTTTGTGTGTGATTTTTTGTTGTTGTTGTTAATTGTAGTTTATTAAGTATTAACCCTGAGAAAAAGACAAATTAATTTCCGTTCCTCTCCCATAAACCCCTTTCCAAGTGCTGCTGTGCCTTGCTATCCTGGCATTCGCAAGCCTGTAAAATATTTGCAGCCTGTAAAACAGCCAAAACTGTTCCAATGAGTAACACAGGTAAGTGTCCTCAGGAACGCAACTTTTGTTCCACAGTTCAAACAGTCTATTAAATACACTATTTGAGCTCAATGTGATCTAACAGCCACCAATAAAGTGTAACTGAACCACACCTGATACTGATATCTTTCAGAAAAAATATATAGTGTAGGCTGCAGAGAACAGTTTTGCATCACAGCCATTACCAGCTCCTTGAAACTACTCTTACATGAAATATCCAAGGTAGCAAGAGAGCTACACAAGCCTTAGGTGCCATCTCTGCACTGGTTGCTTCCTTCCATCCTGGTCTGTCTTTTGTGACGTCTACTCTATAGCTAACTTAAAGAAGGGCCCAGAATCAACTCCAAATTTTTTAAAATGCTTCTTTATCTCTCATTTTGTAATAGATCCTTAACCTGCAAGATCTACCAAATCCCAGTCCAACAACTAGAACTTATGTTCTCCAGCCTTACTTTAACTTCTTGTGTTTCATTGCTGAACAGTTGCTGCCACATAACTCAGCGCATTTAACTGCATTTCTCTGGCTTGTATACCCATTACATCCCTCCCTGATAAAAATCCCCAAGATGGTTTCCATCTCTACGACATCAAGTTTTCCTCTTCTTATCCTGTTTTTTTCCCCTACTTGTCCTCTTCCAGCACACAGTAGCACCATCTTGAAACAAGGTCTAAGGTAATAATGACTGCCATCTGCTTGCCTCCTCTTTCTTCTCACTTTGCAGCTGACATGGCCATATTCAAGTTATTTTAGAACCCATCAACATGAGCATTTATTGTAACTTAACTACACAGCTACACCTCATATTTCCTCTCAGAGCTCCTTATATCATGATCTACCAAGTTATCTCACTGATGTCGCTCCCTGCTTCCCCCTTCTGCCCTACTTCATCTTTCATTCCATAGGAACTTGCAGCCACCTCAGACTGATACAGAAAACTTGTCGTAAGGGCCAGACACCCTTAAGCATGTAAGAAGCCTTTCAGGATCTCGAGTAACATGAATCACTTCAGTGGGAAAGAAAAGATACTTTAAAAAACAAAGCTACAAAGCCAAAGGACAATATCAGTACTTGAGGAGCAGGACAGTGAAGAGGTATTTTATTGTCTTCCTAATTAAAGCACAGCCCTTAGCCTGCTACCCAAAGCCCTACCTAGTAAAGAAAAATGGTTCAGCTGCATTCCTAAAGACAGTTTCACTGAGGTTCCAGGAAGAGCTCAGCACTCCTTTTGGGAAACACTAAGAAAAATTACCAAGAAAGTAATTAATTTAGTTTTTCAGACACCGGTCTAGTTCCAAGCTTACAATCCCAAATTCGTAAAGACATTTATCTCCCTAAGGCACCCGCTATCCACAGTCTAATTCACATAATTTACCTTCCCCCGTCAAATACCAACTCTATTTCTTGTAAAGCCCACACGAACCACTCTGAAATGACACAGATGACATGTAAAAATGAATTTTATTGATGCCCTTGCTGAAGTCTATATTTGCACTGAACATGCTCAGCAGTAAGGCTACCTGCTATGGTATTCATCAGTTGCACTGGAACTTGCAATTCCACAAGCAAGGTGCCACTCATCCGCTGCAAGTATCCATTACATGCAAACCAGAATGTATGTTATCCTTCGTTTAGGGTCACCTTGTTCTGTTCACAAGGATGAACTGTACATGCTGGACTTCACAGACACCCGACAGATGCTGTAGTCGCAGGTAGCAGCTTAAGGACAACTTTGCTACCACAGAGAAAACACACTGGCATCTAGTGGCCAAAGAACACATTACAGACAATACAGAACCGTGCAGATGCCTCTCATTTCCTATTTATGCTGTACAGAGAGATGTAGCACAGACTGGAATGGGCAGATGCAGCAACAGCTCCTGCAGAAGAGATGGTCCCAGTGAAAATCCAGCGTAGGCTTGAATCCACCCGCACAGCAGCTGATTGGTACAGGAACTGGAATGAGGTAGGACAGCCAGAAACACTACAAAGGTACCAGGACACAATTATCTCAAACAACAGACATCAGTGAGCAGGAGAACTGCAGTATCACCTTCATTTATAATAGGCAGGCAGAGACAAAAAGAGGTTCCATCAAGTTACTAGGAGTGATCGTCTTCATTTAGCCACAGCTTCAGTTTCCATCAGAGTGCTCCGTCTCCACAAAAATTCTGCCCCTCTGTCTCTTCCCTGACTCCCTGAAGAAGCTAGGAGAATCCCTACCTTCAAATACTGATGAAATGAGAAGCAGAATTGCATTCAGGTTATCACCACCCACCAGTTACGAGATCACATGTGCTACAGTCAGACACTGATAAGATACCATCCTAAGATTTGGAGGGGTTTTCAGTCTATCTCCAGAGATTCAAGAAACTTGACGACCAAGATAGCTTATGAAATATCTAGAAAAAGCATCCACTTCTTCCCTTCCTCCTTCTGTGGCACGATCCCCAATCTCAGGCTTCTTAACTTCCCATGCTGAGTGGGACAGTCCACCTTCCCACTTTCAGTCCCTTTAAGGCAGAATGGCTAGATGATATCTCTTTTGCCAAGAACCGCAAAGCTCTCCACCCTAATGCCCCGTGATGGAGAAGGGCAGATGCCAGACCATCAACACTGGAGTTAAGTTTGTGGAAATTCAACTTTGTATCATGTACAAATGGAGAAAAGCCAACCAAAATAGAAGGAAGAGGAGTTACAAAAGGCAGTAAATCCCTAGAGTTTCCTTTAAGACAGCAAAATGAAGGTGATACAAGCTTACATAGATGACTCACTAATCCCAAGGGACCTGAACACCTCTCCCATCTGCCATTGTTCCAAATACTTCAGACTCAGCTAGGGATGAGATGGCTTCAGGTCAACCTTACTTTGCCGTGCTTCCCAACACCCTAAGCACTGTCTCTCCTGCTCATGCTACTATAGGCAAGGGAGGATCCCTAAACAGATGGATGGGGTAAGAGGCTGCATCCAACAGCCAGGGACAGGAGAAACAGGAAAGTGCCCTTCCTCACTATCAGGATCCTCTAGGTTCGGACTTGGAACTTGCCAGCCTTAGTCATGTATTTTATTCCCTTGAAGGGCTTGTACTTCTCCCCATACATGTCCAAGCGATTCACCTTCAGTCCTAAAGGCAAACAAACACAGCATAAGACTGCTGACATAAAGATGACAGGCCTTCAGGATAAAGGAACAGAAGATCATATTAGAGGTGCAGAAAGCATAGGGAAAGTTTTAGCAAGCAGTGAACAGAAT